CGAAGAGATTATGGCAGATTATGTTCACCAAGAAATGACCCGAAATTGGATCTTGGTCTATTTGAGATTGTTCCTTTTAATCGTAATCAAAGATGTTTTCTTGTCTTTCGTTTCTTTTCTGAACAAATCGAAGAACCTAATGGATTCAATTCAGACAGTTAAGATACTTTCATCGGCCTTCAGGAGCGTAGCCTTATTCCTCAAATCAATTACTCTTAGGCTTACCATTATTAAAGAATTCCGGGTTTTCCCTTAGAGTTACCGCCCCGTGGGAACACCGGATAAGAGGATAATCGCAAAAATCAATGTGGGAATAGCGGTCAATCTCAGATAAGTCGTCTTTTTTATTGATAGCACGTGATTCGGTCTTATTCGTCGTAATTCGATTAGTTAAGAAAACGGGATTTCCGTAGAATTGATAGAGGCAATCTTGCCATTTAGAATAGAATCTTCTTGCCCAGTCCTAAGAAAGAAAAGAAAGAAGGCATATAGATTAAATCATAAGAGAAGGAAGGGGGATTAGCCACCCCTCGTGCTAATAATAAAAAGTAGCGATTCCTAGCCTTATTAGTTAGAAAAGTAATCGAAGGGTTACAGAAGTACTATTTAAGAAAGGGAATCCAGAGTACTCTCTCGACGGGTAGGGAATCAATCTATTTGATTGAAGGAAGGTATTCGTGTACGGGAATCGAAGTGATTAGAACAGAACTAATCCCGTGGTTAGAGCAAAGGACGGAAAATCCTTCCAGTCCTCGATAGGGAAAGGAAAGGTAGGAGCACGCCGACGAGGCAAGTAGACCGAGACGACAGAAGGGATCCGCAAGGATCGTTACGAGCGATTAGGACCCTAAGACTCCCTCTTCCCCTATTCCTGAACCCCAGAATTAGACTCTTGAGCTGGGTGCCGGGGTAAAGCATTTAAAGGAAAGAGACCTAGGCCTTTTATTCCCGATTCGCTAAACAAGAGATCAATTCACTAAGCGGACAGGCAGGGCAGGAATGCGCCTTCTGGAGCTATTCCTTTGACTCTCAACTCATACTTAAAAAAAAAGAGAGGAAGACAGACTAATAGTACTACTAAATAGAGGGTTGAGGGGGAACAGAAATAAGTAAGGGATACTTTACGACACTGC